AAGATGTGTCCACACAGCACCAAAATAATCACCAGGATGGCCTCTCAGGAGCTATAACCGTGGCTTGGGGAGGAGGCGGGGCAGGAGTGAGCTGGGGCGGGGGGAATACCTCAGGGTGGGGGGTGAGGAGCTGCCACAGGGGGGGCACCTCAGGGCGGAGGGGGGGAGCTGCTGCAGGGGGGGCCTCAGGGCGGGGGCTCGGGGACGCAGGGGGGCGCAAGGTGGAAGTTTCGCCTAGGGCGCGAAACATTCTTCCACCGGCCCTGCTCCCGATTGATTTGGCGGCAAAACGAAGCAACGTGTTTCAGCAAGCATGGCCCATTGATTTTGCATGTAGCCCAGGAATGTCATGGTTCACGCCCTTCGACTGAGTTATTAGACTCTCACTGCAGGACTCTTACCTCCCCTGCTGCAGACACTGTGTTTCCTATTTGGTGGGTAAATCCTATACCCCAAATTTCAGCTTGACGAGCAGGATCCCTCCTTCAAGGGGGGATTGGTTTGGAGCGGGACGGGTGGGAAGCAGAGGAGATTGAATCCTCTACGCCTGGTCTTAAGGCCTTCTCTACCATGAAAATGAAACAAAAGAGAGCAGGCCACACTTGGCATTAGTGGGAAAGCCGCTCCCAGAATGCCCTCTGCTCCACTGTGATGCTGCAACCTGTTCAAGAAGGGCTGGTGGATGAGGCTGCAGCTTTGGGGAGGATTTTTCAAGTGCATCATGGAGGTTAGCGTTTTGCATGTTGGCTGCTATAGCAGCTGAGTTTGTCTTATGTTTCTAAAGCTCACGCTCCAGGGTTTCAGCCGGTCTCCAGCAGTGGTCAGGAAGGGATTTTCCTACCCCCGCCCTCAGTGTATTCTGGGAGGATTTGGGATTTGGGGTTTTGGTTTTTTTTTTGCCTCCTTCCTCTCAAGCATCAGGGATGGCCCAGGCTGGAGATGGAACATTGGACAGGGTGGTCCAGGGCTCTGAGGTGGCACCAAGCATTCTTTCTCTCAGGGTATAACTGATTGCCACATGTAGGGCTGGGAAGGGATTTTTCCCCAAGTCAGATTGGCAGGTACCTGTGGCATTTTTCGCCTTCCTCTGCGGCATGTGGGTGTGGGTCACTTGCCAGGACTATCTGAGTAGATCTCACTTAATCATTTCAGGGGCCTTGGGGATTGATGCACCTGGGTCCCTTCTATTCCCTGCCTGTGGCACATAATAGTCTAGTCTCTTGTGGGCTGTAATATTTTGGTCTAATTTTGTTTGTTAGGTTTAGTGAGCAGGTGGTATACAGGGGGGTCATGTTAAATCCAGTGCTCCCTTCTGGCCTTAAACATCATGACTCTATGAGGCACTTTTCAAAAAACCCTCTAAGATTTATAGAAATCCTGCCAGTCCCATCCAGCTGCTCCTTCAGAAGGTAGTCCCGGAGCAGCAAGCATTGTGAGAAAATAGGTGTCCTGGAATGCTCTGTGCCCCGCAGGGAACTTCACATGAGCAGGCAGGGTGGTGATATGTTGGAAGAAGAAGCCCCCAAACCCATTCAGCGCCCTCTTGTTTGTCTCTATGAGCACTTGGCTTGCAGGAAAGAGCTTTGAAAAATTAGGACTCCATCTTCAAATGTTGGGATGGGAAGTGAACCCCCCACTTGGGCAGGAGAAGACAAAGTATCTCAGCTCTTCATCCCTCCTTTTTGCCGGAGAACAGAAGCAAGAGGGAAAGTAGGAATGAAATTCTCTGAGCACTGACTTGCCCTTTCTTCTGCTACTGTTCAGATGGAAGGGGACACTAACATTAAAGTGAACATGTCTACTGTTGAGAAAGTGTTAGTGCTGCCCAATCTTGCGGGAGGAGGTCCAGCACGGGTATTTTAGTGCAAACACCCACTTGGATGCGCATTCTGGTTCCTCAGCGCATTGCACACCAGGTACAGTGCTCGGTGTGATGACAGCTTCTGTCCAACAGGCAGAGGGAATTTAGGGCAGGACTGGAAATATGCCATTGTACAAGGGACGTCTGACACATGGCCTCAAGCTGACATGCACTATGAAATCCTCTGGCAGAGGGAGGGGAGGCAGTGTTAGTGCAGAGATCACCTGCCTTCAATATGGGGAAATTCAGGAACACATATTGAGGAAGGTTCTGGCTGTCTGCCATGCCGTGCTGCCTGGGAGTCATGCAGCAGGCTTATGGACAAAGTTAAGGACACTTTTAGGTCTGAATTCCCCTATACTGGGTCAGTTTAGCCAAGTGAATGTCTACACGGCAGCTGGAGGCGGCTTCTCAGCATGAGTAAACAGACACGCACTAGCTGTGCTCGAGCCAGCAGGCTAAAAATAACCGCGTTGCCATAGCGGCACAGGTGGCAGCTCGAGCTAGCCCACTGAGTACAATCCTGCCGGACCCCCGCCTGGCTAGCCCAAGCTACCGCTGCGGCCACACTGCGATTTTTACCACACTAGCTTGAGCAGAGCTCATCCGTCTACCTGTGCTGGGAAGCATCCTCCCAGCTGCTGTCCAGGCATACCCCCAAGATCCCTGCCTTGGGGCGTCTCTCGAAATACCAAAGCAGCCAATCCGCAACATTTCATTTCCTGGCATTGGGTCTGTTTTCAAGCTCTCTAGACAGAGCCCATGCTCCATTGCAAGCCATCAGACGGCTACAGTACTTTATTGTCACGCCCTTGTATCGCTTAAGAATGGAACAAGTTGAAGGCCCCGAAGATGCACCCTGCGGGCACTATACAAGCAGAGAGGGCCTTGAGTGCACAGCTCTCTCTGCCCAAAGAGGGAGAGAGGTGGTATCAGCTCCCCCTGTGGCACTGTGCCCCACTCCTCCAGAATCAGAGGCTTCTCTGTGGGGCCCACAATCCCTGGCCCACTTCCCTCAGGTTTTTCCATGGGAGGGACTCAGTCCCCCTCCTTATGAGTTTTGAAATTGGATGACCAAAAGGTACAGACTGGTCCCGAGTCAGACACACCTGATGTGCCGCTGTCATATAGAAACTGCACAAAATGCCTGCAGGACAATCTAGGCTGAGGTGACTCCCTCCATCAGGATCACCTGCATGAGTAAAACAAGCAGGGTTTGTTCCTCCCTCACTTGAAATGGTCTCCTCTCAGAAGCACTGTTGTTCAAAGGGTGCATAGCCAGGCTGGCACTTAGGAGACCTGGGTTCTAGGCCTAGCTCTGCCTGTGACCATGGGCAAGTAATAGCCCTTTTGTTTTCCTGCCTCTCTTGGTCTGTTTAGACTGCAAGCTCTTTGAGGTAGGCACTGGGTGTGTCTAGTACTTAGCACACAGGGACCCCAATGTTGGTTAAGGTTTCTAGGCATTACAGTAGTAGAAGTAATAATAATGACCCCAAGACACTACAGCATGCAGTGGCATTACTACATTATTTTGGAGCCATCACTCCAGCAGCATGTAATTGTGTGTCTTTGAGCGGGGCTGCTCTGCATTGTCATGTTATAGGGAAATAATCTGTGTTTAAGCACAGGAAAAACCTCTTTGCAGTCTCAGTACTTACCCGCCCCCACCTCCCAGGCATTTGTGCAAAGAGTTTGGGTGGAAGGAGGAGGGTAAGTCTGGCAGATTTGAAACCCTTTTGGCAAACATCTCGGATTGCTGTGGGGGACGCCTAGTGGGCCAGTGGAGCTATCCCAGGGATGAACTTGGCCCCATCTCCTCAGGCACATCACGTCCCGTGCCCTTCGCTGTGTGTATTCAGAAAAAGGAACTCTCTCCTCATTACAGAGATGTTGAAATAGGGCACGCCTGAACAAAGCCAGTCTCACCAGTGCCTTCCAGCAAAAGGCCACTCAGTCATTGTTTTCTTCCCCCAGACCGTCTCAAATGTATTTTTAGTATTAACAACACCAAATAACTGCTTTCACTACCAAAAGTGCCTTTCACCCAGAAGGATCGGTAAGAGTTCTATAGCCTCTCTCTGTCTTGGTCACTTCACCCACCACTGAAATGCAGCTGCCTCTTGGGTGGAAGGCAATAGCTGCAAAAGTGCACAGCAACAGGCTAAACTCCTACTATCTGCAGACAGACTGAGAATTAAATGGGAGCAGTGCTGATTTGAAATATATTTAGGGGAAATGAGAGAATTGCTGGGGAAAGGCGTTTAGTGTGGGAGGAGGGTTGAGTGAGAAATTTGCCAATTTCTGCAATGCTCTACTTTCCACCAATAGGCTCCCACCACTCCACTCATTTATCCCCTCCACTTTTTCCATGCAGCTCTCCTATTGCTTTCAACACTTCTCTCGTCTGCCTTACTCTTATTCTCATCACTCCCAACCCCTGGGATTTGGCTGCCAAGAAGGCGTAACATGCAATCGCATTGTTCATATGTCTTTGGTTAGAACTTCTGGTCCGCTTCAGTCTCGCTAGCTAGGATTCTGAGAAGGACCCTCCCAGCTCTGACTTGAGTTGTGCCAGCCCTTTTGCCATCAAAGACTTAAGTTTTAATTATTTTGTTAAACCAGTGACTTGCAAACCACTAATAAAATGGGAGAGCTTTGACACACACACAAAAGCATGAGGGACATCTGAAAAAAACAAAGGCCAGATTCTGATCTGAGTTGAGCTGGTGTAAATCTGAATTAGCAGGATTGATTTCAGAGAGACCTGCGCCGAACTCCAAAGCTTGCAAATGTGTCATTGCAACAAAAAAATGTGTCAAGCATCTCCCTTACTCCACACTGCACAGACAGTTCTGCTGTGTCTCTCTCACACCCTCAAGGCAAGAATAGAGTTACCTTAGCAAGCAGCATGCAATTGCAGTCAGACTCTGTAGTGCCTTCTATTGGTGTCTGAGCCCTATGTGTGGCTGGTTTTCAAAGCAAAATATAAAGGCATAAGTGTTTGCCATTAGTGAGTCGCACTCGGAGATATAGAGAACCATGGAAATGAGGGAAAAGGGAAAGACAGCTATTAGATCAAAGGAATGGGAGATACTGAATGGAGAAAGCAGTTGCAGAGGATTTTGTGAAGAGGTCTTACCCTGTAGTGGGGCTGGTTCTGGCACCTTTAGAAGAAGGAGCTTGCTTTGCCTTAGTCCTGTCTTCTTGATGTACAGAGCTGCAGTGGAGGGAGTGCCCTGCCTGCCGGAGTTATAAGTTTCCTCTGCTGCTGTGTCAGGATGTGCAATGGGGTGGTGTCTTTTCCCTGCGTTTTAAAGGAGTTTCTATTAATCAGTCTAGCTTTAAAGAAAAAAAAATTAATAAGCTACGCCCTGCTTCCTTGGCAGCAAGTCAAGAGTCACTGGGAGGAAACCAGCAACTCAAAGAAATCTCTTGTGGAGTTCTGTCTGACTCAGAGCACAGTACAGAGACCACAGCCTGGAAAAAGGAATGACACGAATCCAGATGAGTAATAGAAGGCATCCAAACAGCATCTGTTTACAAAAACGGACTTCTGGTTACCATTTTTTTTTTTAAATCTATAGTTACCAATGTGGTCAAAGATACAATGCACTCAAACAAACAAATAAATGTCCCTGCGTAGGGCGTGGTGATGTCTGAGTGAGTCACGGAGCACCACACCTCTCTACCACCTTCAGGAAAAGGGGGACTTGCTGAAGGGAGCAGGGAAAGGGGATATTGATCATTCCTGCAGAATGGGACTGAGTGATCCCTTTGGAAATACACTATGGAGCCGAGATCCCCAACGGCAGTCCCTGAAGCAGTGGAGCCTGATGGGGATGGCTTGCCTCCTTGTGTCCAGGTGAGAGCAGGCTGGAAGGAGAGCTGAAATGAGGAGACAGTGTGAGGAACTGTTTTCAAAGGATAATACACTCATCACACTTAGAGACATCCAAAAATACAGGAATGCTTTCCCATGGCTGAGGTGCCTTGGGGCTGTTAGATAGTTGTGACTGGGAAGGAGAGGGGTCTGGGTGATGGTGAATGGCAAGGAGATGGCATCCATAACAAGCTCTCCTGTTAAAAATGTGGCCCCACTAGGAAAGAGTTTGAGATCCTCTGCTTTAGGGAATAAGCCTGCATTTGCCGAGCGGAGCAGTGACAGACAAGATAAGGCTTTTCCATCTCTAATGACGAGGACGCTGGAGTGTTCTCATAGAAAGGAAGCAGATGCTTTTTGAAGTCTGAGCTGGTGAAAAGAAATACTGGCTGTTTTTCAGACTACTCCCTCTGTCTGGCACTGCTGCCTTTTCTGTGACCCCTGTCTAGTTTTAGCGCAAAGCACCCAGCTTAAACTGGGATGTAGCTGGCAGGAGAGAGAACTGCTCACATGTGCCGAGTGCAGTCTCAGCTTCATTGAAGTCCATGGGAATTTTGCCATTGATTTCAGTGGAGTCAGGGCTTTATCCCCCAGCTACAGCATAAGGCTAAATGGGCCCTAGCTCACCTGGCTGTTTTGGTGACATCCTCTAGAATAGTCCCGGAAAGCGGAGGTGAAAGGTACATTTTCTTCCCAGCCCCAGAGAGGCTGTTGGCAGAGACACTGCCCCATCACCCCTTTCTTGTTCTCCCAGTTCTGTTTACTAGAGTGAGTGATGCTCATCTCAGCTTGGGGTTTTCATTTTCTCATCGGGCAGCTGGCAGGATGCTTGTATGATGGCTTCTCTGAGACACAACTCTGAGCCAACTTGCCTAAAACACACTGCGACGGCAAAGAAGTGGGCACTGGTGGGAAGTGGTGTGCAGAGAGATCTATGGTATGTACAGCACTCTTTGTATGGATAAAGGGAATTGGAGTCACAAAAACTGCCATACCAGATCAGTCCGTCTGTCCGTCCAGTTCCAGCACCAGCTGCTTCAGGGGGAAGTTCAAGAATCCTTGAGTAGACAGGTATGGAATAACCTGCCTACAGGGAGAAGTTTCTTCTTTACTCTCCATCTGGAAGTCTTGACACTGAGTTAGAACAGGAACTGCACCAGCCAGACCACATACACAGTGACCAGTGCACCAAAGGATGGCCATGGGAGGGATGTTTGTACCATTGAAGTTGTTATGTCAGTGACTGCCATCTTCACTGGCACTGCACCCATGGAGTTAGAGACAATAGTGGGTAGCATGTTGGTTAGCCTTGCTCACAGCAAGCGTAACCCAAACAGTGGTGCAAACGCCAGCCTGCTGTTGGGGACAGTCTTCTGTGTGGACACATGGTGATGTTACGGGCAAGCTGGGAAGTCCACATTGTGCTTAGTACCCCAGATCTCTTGAGTGCAGGCAGGAACTTTGAATTTCCAATGAGAGAAGTGGCAGCTTCTCTCCAGGTATACACATCCTTGGTCTGTCTGTCTTTCTAGTCTGGTAGGAAGGGTGGAAGTGAGAGAATAAATTATCTCTTCCTAACTGTGTTAAAAGGTAGCATATCGTTTTAAATAGATTAAATGAAATGTCTTTAAACTCATAAATAACCAGAGGAACTCACTGCTTCAGGGTATTAGTTTAATATATATATATATAGTAAGCAGTTGTTTATATAACAAGAATAGCATTTATAGCAACATTAGGTAGGATCAAAATGTAGGTCTGTCAAGCCTCATTTAAAAATGAAAATTGATTATCAGGAGAGGAACTGGATAATTATCCCGCCATATTTTATATTGCCCAATGAAGAGCATTACTGGGACTGGAGGAGAAAAGTATGCTCAACCTCCCTTTGAAGCATCCAGAATTGGTCACTTATGGAGGGTGGGATACCAGACTACAGAAACCAATGGGCTATGCTCTTATTGTATAAGGATTTATCTTAAAACAAAGGTTTGTTTGAACTATGGATATCCAAAGAGCATGTTAGATTTATCAGAACTCCTCAGCGTACAAATTAAACAGGAGAAATTGTAGCACTTGGGTGTATTCTTTTTATAATTCTTTCAGACAAAAATACACCTCATGTCTACGTTAATCCCCAATCCAATTTCTGTCACTTACTGCCTTAATGTATTTGATCTCTCCACTGCACATGCACAAATCAGTTTGTCACATCATGGGAGACTGCTGTGGGAAATCTCAGAGGTCATCAAAACAGGAGATGAACTCCATGCAATTCACTGCACCTCTATTTGTCATTTCTCGAAGTGGGTGGAGTCAGGAGCAACTTTAAGGTTTAAAACGTAAATTAGTGTAGCAGCTGTTCTAGAAATGCCAGAAACAGTTACAGTAGGTCATTTGTAATGGGCTTTGAAAGGCTTTTGTGGCAGTGCTGGTTCGTTAATATTGCATACACTGTTTTCAGGTTTTACAGTTGATGCGTATGCACATTCTGGGGATCGCCATGTGATATGATAATTTGCAGCAGCATATGATACATTTCAAAACCATGTGATAAATTGTGTTTGTCATGCATGACCCTTCAGGGCTAGAAATGGGAACTTTCATTTATGCCACTGGAAAGGAGACAATTCCAGTTTTCTAGTGCGCATTACACGAGACTTGCTTAAAGTTCTGCTAGGTTTTCAGGTAACAGCTATTTGATATCACAGGAGCATTATGTTGTTGTAAATAATGTTTAGATCTTTCTCAAATGTATTTGTTGTAATTTTCCTCTCCCTCTGAGGCCTATGCAGTTAGACTCATGGTACTAAGGGAGCTTGGCTTTACAGGCTGAGGGACATGAAAAGACGTAATAGCTGTCAACATTAAACTCATTGTCTTTCTCCAACAATGTTCTGGCTTTTTTTATGGTAGTACCAATGATGTACTAGGTGTTTTCTGGACATTCAAAAAGGGATGATCCCTGGCTCAACAAGCTCAAGTATTTCTGCAAACCACATGAAAGGTAAAATTTTCAAAAATGCCCAAGTCCCATTTTCAAAAGTAATTTAGCACTGAAGGACTCTAAGTCCCATTAACCTTTTGAAAATGGGGCTATGTGCTGTGGGAGAATTGTACCTGAGATCTGTAGAATTCAGGCTGGCATGGTGTGGTATGAAGCATTTATTGACATGACCTTCAATGACTCACTCTTGACTCCACTACTCGAGAGTAATACGATATGGCCAGCCCAGAGTCATGGCAAAAATCTTTTACCCGCATGTGTTCTTTCTAAACAACATAAAACCATTTACCAGATGAGAAACTAACTTCCCCAGTCACTTTGAGAGTCACTAGAACAACTTGTCTTCCCAGAATGTGAAAATGATACAGCCATTCTTCTGGTGTTGTGGTCTGGGGTTGGACTGGGGAATTTTGACCTCTCACCTTGTCTTGGAGAACTGTGACTTTTTCACCTGAGATTGGACGGTTTACGATGTTGACTTTGGCTAGAATGGACTGTGGTCTTTGCATCAGGTAGGAGAACAGCAGACTGAGGAAATTATGCTTCTCTGAGTGCAGGGATTAGACTAGCTCTCGCATAATATTGGGTGATTATGAATCGCTAACATGGGACCTGGGGATTATAGCCCTGCCCATCGGGATTGGAAAATTGTTGGACTGGGAGATTATGAGTTTCATCAAATTGAGATTTTGACTCCATGGGAGTGGCAGATCAAGGCTGCTTGTGGTAGTAAAGACATAGCAATGATGTTTGAACTGGGGGGATTACAGCTCTTCTCCATGCACTGGTTAAAGTAGATTGAAACTAGAAGGGGAGCTCTCACTACACCTGCTAAAGAGGAGAGGGAGCTAGGGGCGCACACAGCTCTCCTGAGGGATGGAGAGGAGGAAGGGCTCTCCCTCTCTGTCGTAGTAGAGGTGAGGGAACTATGCTCCCATCCACTCACCCTTATTTTAACCTCAGCCCCAGTGTCTTCCTTTTGACACTGAAAACGTTCCTGTTGAAGAAGCTCACTAGCTATACTACAAATGGTGCATTTGCACTGGCTCTCCCATGTGGGCCGGCCAAGTGTCCCTCCCAGAGCCTCATGTCTCCATTGTCAAAGCGATGATGGATGAAGGTTGTCCCAGTTCCCTTGCTGGAGCTCCTCACTCTCCCATGCTGGCAGTGGAGCTGATTCTCTTTATTGCCCCCTGGCGACCCCTGGAATGTCTCTGCACATACTGGTTTACCCCCTCCGGGATGCTGCATTGTGCAGTGTTTGCTTATGAATGCGATGAAGATAACTAGGTGACACCACTTGTCTCTTAAGAAATGCCTTAAGTACTGACTTTGGGAGACTTGCCTAGAAACCAGTCTCCACATCAGTCCGTTCCAGCACTTATTGTCATAGATGGTTCTTTGACAATGCAGGCCCTACCCTGGGCTGCTCCTATCAAAGCATTGTCCTCCCTTTTTTTCTTGGCTGCTTTACAAAGGTAACATCACGCCCATGCAAGGAAAACAGAGACAAGA